CCGAGAAACTTCAGCAATACAAATCCTTTCTTGATTAAAACTTGTTTATTCTTTCTAAATACAAAACTTTTGTAATACACTTAACAACTTTTATAACACATGCTATAAATCACAGTGATTCACACACTTTACTTATAGTGCCTACTGTTCGCTTGATTCAATTATCTATCTCTGCCATTGCACTGGTGTTTCTTTCCAGGCTTATATACTAAAAAAGAGGGCATCTAGCAAACACTCAGACATTTGCGGGGTTCCCCAATAATTCTAGAAACTCCAGCACACATGCTCCCAGCGTCACACAACTTCCACTGTCGTAACAGTATGAAAACATTGGGAATTACAACCAACAGAGCATAACTTTTGGTTACATATTGTTTATATAAAATATTTTGTGTTTCTATATTATAAAAAACATTGTTAAAAAAAAGGTATACAAGATCTTTCAAAGACCTCAATATTGCTCTTACCTTAAACACTTCCCAGAGAGGAAACTGTATGAGCGAGAATGGAATTTCTCTGATAACCGTACTTAAATATCCTCTGTAAAGGCCAAAAATGCCCTAGTAAGAAAAAATTTGTAATATTTTCTTCTGCACATTAGTAAATAGTTAAAAACTTTAGTTATATTTATAGCAAGAATCAAAATGTAGACTGGTTCTACTTTAGAGCCAGTTTAGCTTATTAAAGAATATTATATTATGATATCCTTAATGGACAAGCTTTTATTAATGTGTCACAGTCTAACATAAGATATAAACTGTAGGATGTTACCTCAATGATTATAATCAAGAAATAAAATCCTACAACCTTTGACCTGTGAAACACTATTACTACAGTCTTGTTAGTAGAAGTTTCAGTAGGCCTACAAGCAAATCTCAAGCTGAAAAAAAATAGAGAGAAGAATCCTGCATTTTATTCCTAAATACATTCCTCAACTTTCCATGACCAAAACTATTACTTTTTTTCAGTGACTAAACTATATGAAATATATGAAACTATTTGTATACATAAATGCTATTTGTGTTTCTTTCAATTCCATTACAAAATCTAAAAGAACAAAACTAAAACTATTTTAATGGCTTATTTGCATCTGCACAGTTATCAGTAGCTAAAATTAAGTTTAAACCATATCAAATAGAAAGATATTAATCAAATGTTTTGTAAAACTAACATATTTGCATAAGCATTTTTTTTAACTGTTGTGAGTCTTTCCAATATATTCAGTAAACAGTGTGCATCTACAGCTAAGAAACGTAACAAATTAGTAAAAAATATGTGTTTGAAGATATTAAAACTGGCAGCTCATTTAAGAAAAAAGAAACAAAAAATATATACATTTTTCCATAGTTTTAATAATCTTCACTTATCTTTTGATTTTAAATTTACATGCTTAACAGAAGTCCAGTATCATAGCAACTTTCATGCCTTGTGTTTTTTAAAATGATTATTATTAGAAAAAGAGCTAATGTGAAGGTATAGTATTCCTTCACTTACAAACATATACTCTGCATTGTATAATAAACCCTTTTTCGTTAAGAAACTTTCCTCTGATTTTCAACAGAGTTAATGGTGAGAAATAAATCTTTTTCTCCGTAATCCATTTGCATATGGCAAAGAAAATTAGTTAAAATTTGAAAATCATATTTTCTACTTAAATGACGTAGTTGGTTAGTTTTGAAGAAACAGTATAATTTAATCAGAATCAGAGTAGTTTATGGTATGGAAATAATAAGAATGAAAAATGCAGAAACATTTTCCAACATTTTATTAACAAAAAAACCTCAGCTACCCTTATTGCAATACTCCAGTATCTTACATGTATTTTATGAAATAAAATTGAACATTACATTTCTTAGCCTTCCTCTTTTGACTTTTAATTTTTTTATAAGGAAGGTCCTAAGCTGAAAACCATATATTTTACCCTAATTTTTTTTCTATTGTTGTCTTTGTATTTTCCTATGGCCACTAAAGTACATGTATATATTTTGTAAAAATTACCAGTCTTATTGGGATGTTATATCACACAAGCTGCTGATCAACACCATATTTTATTTAATTCCACAACTTGTTTTATTTGTATTTTTTCTTGACAAAACCAATTAGATCTACATTTTCTAGTTCTTTGAGCACTCTTACAATAGAATTTTTTCATGTTAAGTGATATGTTTTTTTGGTTTCACAGACAGGAGAAAAATTAGTTTACATTTTAAAATTGGTACTTTATTTGCCATCAGGAAAGAATTCAAAGAGCTAATATTTTGCCAGAAGTTTCTGAGTGACATATTAAAAAATAAACAAAAATAGGGTTTGACTGTTAAAAGTCAGAGGATCATATGTTTGATTCTACTCATAAATATGAGTGATCATAACAATCATTTAGGTGAAGTTTCTTGATCTACTGCCAAAGAAAATTAGAACACTAAATTTGCAAAAGAAGCAACAAAGTTACTTATAGAAAAACATACTAGAATTAAATGTGTGAATATTAAATCTTTTAATATCAGAACATAAGAATAAACTTTTTTTTCCTGAATCTGTTTTACTTAAAAATATGGTACAAAATAGCAAACAAAAAATAAAGTTAACAGAATACAATTTACAATCAACAAAGTAAACAGATACACTAGAAAATGTTTTCTCTGGTCATTTTTGTTCTAACACTTTACAAATAGCACTATGATGCTGCAAGTGTTATTTAAAAAAGAAATAAAAAACTTGACCAGAGTCTCTTGTTTTTAGCAGTGATGCCAATAATATTTTGCCATAAAGAACTGTACAGTTGAAATGTTTAAGATAAAAAAAGAAGTAGCAACTGTCAAAAGACAAAACATATTGCGTATTCAAATGAGACATAAACCTACTTCAGTTTTAAGAGTCCTTTTCAACACTGACCAACTATTAAGTTCTGGTCTAGTCTGTGCCCTTTGTTTCACAACTTCCACTGGCACACGTACTAAGCAGGCAACCTACAATATCCAAATCAAAATTACTGCACAGCTTTTTCATGTATATTTACATATTAAAGTAAGTTAATAATATTGGATATAAAACTTGATAATGAGGAACCCACTTTTTTAGAAAATAAAAGTTTTGAGACAAAATCTTGTTGAAACGTCGTACATTTATAATAAAGTTTTTTCATTACCCAGTCAAGTCATCTCAAAACTTTTGATATTGAATATTTTAAAATTAATCTACCTAATTACAATAAAGTATCCAATTTCCACAATAAGATTTTTCAGTTTTCATAAAAATATATTCAATTTGTCTTGAATATGTAAATTTGTTAATATTCTTAAGAATTCTTTAAATAAAATATAATGTTTAACAAATGAAATCATGATGTTGGTTAAAAGCTGATACTTTCTAACCATTTTACAAATACTGCTACACAAAGAAATCATATTTTACTGTACATTATAAATACAAATATAGTTACACCTATTCTTCATCAATTCTAAAGTTTGTAGGCAAATATTTACACCTGCTCATCAGTATAAATAACATTTAGGTGTGTTAATATAATTAAACATAAAGAAAGTGCTTTTGCCCTCAATTTCTCATAATGGGAGTTTTTTATAATCACAACTAAATACAAATCACAAAACAGTGAAATTGTATCAAGCTACACTCATTAGCAAACTGAATTAATATGAAGGCATACTTCTGATCATTCAGTGGATGATGTTACAGGGAGTTTTGTTCAATTCTTCATTCTGTCAAACTCTGAAAGGCTATGTTAAGACACAGACATACATGGACACATTCAAACACTTTCAACTTTATACTTTTCTAAAATAATCTAAAAATATAAGTTTTTCTTCTGTCTTACTCATATTACATGCAGTTCAATAATGCACTTTTTGTACTTTAAAGGTTACTTAATGGTTCAAAAAATATATATAATACTAAATAAGAAGTATGTCATCAATATTATTTCAATTTTAGGGCTTGATGGCAAACATTTTCAATCAAGGATACAAATACCAAACAAAATTGAAACTTTTACATTAGGGAATCAAAAGTTCACATACCACTTCACCACAAGATGCAGCTCCCATATGAATGACAGGTTCAAAGGACATGGGAACCCAGCCTCTGCCAAGTTGTTTTACCATTTCATATGTACAGAAAAAGGCTGCCGCTAAAGCAAAAGAAACTATTCAATATTTAATCAATGTAAACTATTACTAATGAAACCAACTATACTAATAAGATTATTGTATATTTGCTAAACTACATATAAGTTATGATTCTGGACATCAAAAACTGTAAACCTATAGCATAGTAATTCTGATAAATTATTGTGTATGATGGTAAGTCGTGTTGTTGCTTTTTACATTATCTTTTTTTTTCACTTCTTAAGAAAGGATTATCTGAAAGCACTCAACTTTATTAACTGTGATTTATTTTACTTTTTTGTCTTCCAAATATACAGAAGATAGTTCTTATATATTTTTACATCTAAAAGGTGTAAAATTGTATAATGAAATCCAACTCATCTCATTCCATGAAAAACATTTATTTTCCTATCATACTGCATCATTACAATTTAAATGCAATATAAAATGATTAAGCAAGTTTTTTGCAGAAAAAAATCAGAACTTTCATTGTAGCAGAAGTTGCTCACAAACATGTTTAATTCTAGCAACATCTCACCAAGCTAAATTTTTCTCACTTTGCTCTATTCCCTATGTGCATCTTCATTACACTGGTAGCCATATTGATATTGGCTTATACAGTTGACAAGAACAGAAAAAGTGTTGATTATGTGTTAAGATCACTATAATTTTAAACTTTTAAACTACTACTTCTACAAACTTTTAATAATGTGGAGACTCCTCCTTAGAAAAAAACTTTTAAACATTCAAAATTGTAAAGAATAAAAATTACATTTAGTCTAAATTTCTTTACCTAGCCTATCTAACAGGGCTCTAGTGTTAATGTAATTAAATCAAGAACACATGAAATAAATTCATAAGGAGAGACAGAGGAAAGACTAACAATTAACTGAAGGTTGGCCAAATTCTTTTCATTAAAAACATATAGTGAAAGATTGTTCTAAATAGAAAAACAATTGTCAAGCAACCAATATAAATTTATAATGTTGAAAGATACATGTACAGTGAAATTAACTTTCCTTACAAAGTTCAAACAAACAAGTTTGTTTTCTGACTTATTTCTTATCTGTTCTTAACAAGACATTGTCAATGGGTTTGGTGATATTATAAAAAACTGATTGTATCAAATAACTCCACTGTAAAAAAAGAAAAAAGGAAATTTGCAAACAAAAACATTCACATATTTCTAGTTAAATAATACATACACCTGAAACATTTAATGTCATTTGGCATTTTTTACCATTTGGGGCTGATCCTGTTGCTGCTGAGGCCAATCCTGAATAAATACCTCGGAATCCCCCAGCTTTCCAAAACCCTTGTGCACTTTGTAGTCGTGTCTTGATTGTATCTAGTGGGAAAAGGGTGATGTCCACAGCTAAACCGGCTGCTGATCCTGCCTGGAAAAATTGTATTAACCTCTCTACTAAATGATAATTCATATAATGAAAAAAATCAAATTTATGCAAAAATCTGTTTTTTTTTATAGCACCAAATTGTTATTCAAATTTTGTATCTTTTATGTGTTATAAAACATATATAATTTTATCTTAGCATTAGAAAAGTGACTGATGCCTCTAGTGTGGTCTGACACAAACCAGACAACTTGAGAAAAATTTCACTAAGTGGTAAATATAAACTACACCTTAGGGAAAATATAAACAAACTACAATAATGAAATAACGATGTAGTATTCTAATTTATTAATTATCGTGCATAAACCTTTCTCTGTTAACTCCACCTTCAGTGTCTTCTCTACCTGACACAAGAGATACAATGTCAGCAATGGTCATTTCATGTGTGAAGACTGGAAGACATAGTATAAAACAATATATATAAACCCATATAAGGATGTCAAACTATCTAGAAGTGCTCATTCTCTTAAGCATCGAGCAAAAAGGCAAGAAAACAGCTTTTGCAAAAGAAACATTCCATACTAGAATAATACACTTTTTTTTACTTCAAAATGCTACAAGTGCAACTAATATAAGCACCAATTATATTGGTGATATATATAAGTAAACAGTACTAATCAAATATATATATAAGTGATTAAATCAAAATGACATAACAGTAATGAAAGTTGGTGTAAAAACCAAAAGCGAGATGTGTATTATGAGGTTCTAACATAAAAAATGAAAGAAAATTGTCCATTGCCAGTCCTTGTCATTATCCATTAACTCATAATGGAAAATATACATAAACTGCAAACTGAAAAATACATAAAGCACTGAATACAAGCTACCTACACAAGAAAAAACAATAACAAATTTTGCTATAAGACTGAGAACCACTGTGTCTCTTGCCATGCCATATCCATAAATTGTTTTGTAATTGCTAGAAAAATAATTATCCACTTCACAAACATTAATTAATCACAGAATAACTGTAAATGAACTAAGAGGCATCTTTAAAGTGCATTGAGTAAGCTTGACCATCTGGCACACGTTTTCATAGTGAGATATATTTATTTTTTAACACTTTATTAAATAGTCAGGTGTTTCAGTTATAATAAGTTAACTGAACTGTTTGACCAATAAACTGATAACATTATCGTAAGATTCTGCAAAGTTCAGCATGACTAGACATGAGAAAGAAATAATTCAATCTCAACTGTATTTAATGGATTTTGAAGGGTGTGCTTCAAAGAACAATTAAGCATTTTGCTATAACCCCAATTTTTAATGTGTAATGAAATTACATAGTTAAAATACAGGATACAGTATGTACAGAGTTAGAATACAGGATACAGTATGTACAGAGTTAGAATACAGGATACGGTATATATGAAGTTAGAATACAGGATATGGTATGTACGAAGTTAGAATACAGTATGCACAGAGTTAGAATACAGGATACAGTATGTACAGAGTTAGAATACAGAATATGGTGTGTAGGGGGTTAGAATACAGGATACAGTATATATGGAGTTAGAACACAAGATACAGTACATATGGAGTTGGAATACAGGATATAGTATGTATGAAGCTAGGATACAGTATGTATGAAATTAGAATACAGGATACAGTATACACGGAGTTAGAATACAGGATACAGTATTTATGAAGTTATAATACAAGATACGGTATGTATGAAGTTAGGATACAGTTTGTACTGAGTTAGAGTACAGGATACAGTATGTACAGAGTTAGAATACAGGATACAGTATGTACAGAGTTAGAATACAGGATACAGTATGTACGGAGTTAGAATACAGGATAC